TAAGTTCAGATCATTATACCCCTCTGGGAGTCTGCAGTAACATTTCTCATACTTGTATAGAAGGATTATTTTTAAGTTACCGAGTTCTATTTGCAGTGCTTAGAAGCAGCTTCAGCCTTCCCCAGAATCTCTAGAAATCCACTGTATTTCTATTTATTTTCACTAGCTTTGCTTAAGAGGGAGAAGGTCATTGGAGTACCAGTAATTCAATTCAAGGAGTATTTAGGGAGGATACAGTTGGGCCTACTGTGGGAGCTAGAATAGAAGTTTAAGAGACAATCCCTACCTTTAAGGACACTTCAGATTCCTTGGGAGAAATACCTGTGACTATGAAACAAGGAGCAAACTAATGCAAGATGGCATATGAAAAAGTGGCAAAATGAGATTGGATATCCCTACCAGTAAACTGTTTTTGAGTTTGCATTCCCAAATAAAAAGCATATACTCTATACTAATTATCTTTTTTAAAAGAAGAAAATGTAAAGGAAGAGATTTTTTTTTAAATCAAACACTCCAAGAGTGGCAGTTACGAACATAGGCTGTGAAGTCAGACTCCTGGTAGTTCAGGTCTTGGTTGTGCCTCTAATTAGTAAGACATCAGCTTTAACTTTTCTGAGCCTTCTCCTCCACCTCTGAAAAATCCTAAAGTTGTGAGGATTATGGGAGTTAATCCTTGCAAGGGTTTCTCTCTGTCCTGGCACATGGTAAGTGTGTAGCAACTGTTTGCTGTTATTAGCAGCTCTCAATAAAGAAATCTCATACATTCTGCAGGAACAAACCAACCTCAGATACAGGGTCAGCTAAATTTGTTGCAACTCAAGAAACATTCTCAACCTCCCTACTGGACTCCTACTCAGCTGTTGACATCACATTTACATGATATACCAAACTGAAAGCTCAGCTTCTACATGATGTACCAAACAGAACGCTCAGCTTCTCCAACTGGAACATCTACCTTCAGCTCCATGGTTTCCTTATAATTCTCCCCCAAGAAGCTTGTGTGGATTCTTATCTTCCTGAGTGCAACCACATGGTTTCCCAAAACAAGAGAAAAACAATGCATCCTTGAAGGATTTATGAAGACTCTTCTCTTCCCAGACAAAATCTGCTCACAACATTTAAATGATTGCTTTTTTCATCCTAATAATCACAGTGCTCACCATTAAGCAAGCTATTTAATAATACTAGGTGGCAAGGTGGAAGAGAAGAAAGAAAAGAAAAAGTGCCAGGATGAAGAAATTTAGATATTAACGTAGAAAAGAGACACAAGAGTCCTTATGAATGTACAGCTAGAGTGAGGGTTTGCAGCGTCAGGACGCTGGGCAAGTAGGATAGAGGCCAGATGTGGCACGGGGGCTCAGGGCAAGCTTGGTTCAGGATGAAGAACATGGATTTCACGCAGTAGGCCGTTTCTTTTGGCACGAGAATGGCTATGGCTGTGTTCTAGAATGGTTAATTTAGGAGGTAATACACAGGCTGATCATCGAAAAAGCAAGAGAGTTCCAGAAAAACATCTATTTCTGCTTTATTGACTATGCCAAAGCCTTTGACTATGTGGATCACAATAAACTGTGGAAAATTCTTCAAGAGATGGGAATACCAGACCACCTGACCTGCCTCTTGAGAAACCTATATGCAGGTCAGGAAGCAATAGTTAGAACTAGACATGGAACAGACTGGTTCCAAATAGGAAAAGGAGTACACCAAGGCTGTATATTGTCACCCTGCTTATTTAACTTATATGCAGAGTACATCATGAGAAACGCTGGGCTGGAAGAAGCACAAGCTGGAATCAAGATTGCTGGGAGAAATAATAACCTCAGATATGCAGATGACACCACCCTGTGGCAGAAAGTGAAGAGGAAATAAAAAACCTATTGATGAAAGTGAAGGAGGAGAGTGAAAAAGTTGGCTTAAAGCTCAACATTCAGAAAACTAAGATCATGGCATCTGGTCCCATCACTTCATGGCAAATAGGTGGGGAAACAGTGGAAACAGTGGCTGACTATTTTGGGGGACTTCAAAATCACTGCAGATGGTGATTGCAGCCATGAAATTAAAAGACGTTTACTCCTTGGAAGGAAAGTTATGACCAACCTAGACAGCATATTAAAAAGCAGAGATATTACTTTGCCAACAAAGGTCTGTCTGGTCAAGCTATGGTTTTTCCAGTGATCATGTTTGGATGTGAGAGTTGGACTGTGAAGAAAGCTGAGCGCCGAAAAATTGATGCTTCTGAACTGTGGTGTTGGAGAAGACTCTTGAGAGTCCCTTGGACTGCAAGGAGATCCAACTAGTCTATCCTAAAGGAGATTACTCCTGGGTGTTCATTGGAAGGACTGATGCTGAAGCTGAAACTCCAGTACTTTGGCCACCTCATGCGAAGAGTTGACTCATTGGAAAAGACCCTGATGCTGAGAGGGATTGGGGGCAGGAGGAGAAGGGGATGACAGAGGATGAGATGGCTGGATGGCATCACCGACTCAATGGACATGAGTTTGAGTAAACTCTGGGAGTTGGTGATGGACAGGGAGGCCTGGCGTGCTGTGATTCTTGGGGTCACAAAGAGTCGGACACGACTGAGCGACTGAATTGAAATGACACAGGCTGAATGGAATGGGGTGCAAGGGTCAAGGAAAGTTGGATCCCATTTGATTTGTGCTTAGTGTTGTCTTATAACCTCCATCTCTTCAACAAGCAATGGTTGAGTGTCTCATTGACATACAAAGGAAAAAGACGTGTGCCTGGCTTACTGCCTAGAAGATATGATGAAAGGTACACAGCTGTGATGCAAGGTAAAACAGTGTCCAAGTGAGACAGATGCAGTGGTCTGGGACTCCAAGCGGGGAGACTGAGATTACATCCTGAAAGGGCAAAGCAAGCAGGAAGCTGTATTTGGAAAGGGCTACCTAACCTAGGGCCGACTTGCCTGCAAGGAAGGCAGGGTTAGCAAACAGGCTGTGGAGGATGGAGGAAGAAGATAGGTCAGGGCTGGGGAAATGGCAGCAGCTGAGCAGTCCAGTGTCTGAATGGATCCAGCTAACTTGGCCTTGGCTGCAGCAGGTGCTGGTGGAGAAGGTCACCGAGGTTCAAGGCACTGGTGACCAAGTCAGGTTCAGGCCAGTTCCATGGTTCTGTGCCATCAGCCGATTCACAGGAGGACAAGAATCACAGCTGAGGATAAAAGGAACATGATCCAGCCCCCAAAGGGAAGGTTTTGGAAAGAACTGGTTGATAGTCTCGGACCAGTAGGCTGGTATTCAGAGAAGGAGTCTAGTCACAAAGGGAAACTAAGGCAGAAGCAGGTATACTGTGTCTGAGGCAGGCAGCACCATATGTGGGATTCCAGACCTCATGGCTGCCAACCAGGCTTCCAAGCCTGGAAGAACTCGGGAAGAATGTAGGACCTTCCTGTAGGTGGTAATCACTCCCTGCTGTCGGGATAGCTAGACAAAGGCCAAGCCTGACCTGGGTCTTCAAAGCTGCTCAGGCTTTGAGCCAGCAAATACCACACTTATTCACTTAAGCACTGAGCACAGCTAAATGCCCCGGCACTCCGCTGGTCTCTGGGGACACCGTAGTGAGGAACACAAGTGCTTTCCTTGCTCCCATGTACTTTGCAATCTTGAGCAAAGTCAGACAGGAGAGCATGGATGGATACCGGAAGTAAGTTTGACTTGTCAGGAGACAAAGATCCTGAAACCCTTTGAAGGCAAGGCTATAGGGCCTGAAATTGATGAGCCCATGTCACCTCCTCCACAAACTGTCCCAGACCACCTTCTTCAGCCAAGTCTGCTGTGGGGATGGGCTCCTCTTCTAGGTTGGAGTTGGGAGTCCTATAGTTTTCTATCTTATTTCTATATCCTCTCTGAGACTATCAGCATCTTGAGGGGAAGGAACCACACTTTCTTGTCACTAGATCACCCATGTCACACAGCTTGTGGGATCTTAGTTGCCCAGCCAGAGATCAAACCTGGGCCCACAGCATTGAAAGCTTGAAGCCCTAACCAGTGGACCACCATGGAATTCCTTAGCTTGTCTTCTTTTTAAACCAGAAGCTCTAGAAAGTTAAATATCCTTGCTTTCTAATTTAGGCAGTTCTCCCCAAGGCTTACTTAGCACCAGGCCCTGTCACTCCAGAGATGTTGCCTGAATGATCTTGGGAGTAGAACCTGATCTTCAGTGTGCTAATTCTGCCTTCAGTCTCGCAGTTTGTGGGAGTGGGTCTTGAATCCCATCCCTTCAGATCCACTTCTCTTTCTTCCAAATTAGTAAACAAAGGCACTCTCCACTCCTGGCCCACAAAGGCTAACCATCTATTAAAACTTAACTAATCTTAAGTCTTTAGCAATTGAAAGTAATCATGAAGTCATAATGCATTGTGCCAGGCACTACACTAAGTTCTCTGTGAATACGTGAATGTGCTCCCTCCTTCTTTTGACTCAGTCATTGCCCCTGTCACCGGATGAGAAGAGGAGCCATGGAGAGAGCAGCAGGATGGATCAGGCACGTGCCCCCAGCTGCCAGTTACCTTGAACTGTAGCTGCTTCTCCCAGGAAAAGGATCAGAAGGGAACCAGTAAACCACTGGAAACAGCCTTGTTAGACCAGTGTCCGCAGATTCTGCCACACACTAGAATCCTAATGCCCAGGATGCATGTGAGACCAATTAAAGCACTTTCTGGGGGTAGGACCCTGGCATCAATAGCTTTTTTAACTTCCCAGGTGATTCTTTTAAGGACCCACGTTTGAGAATGATTGCTATCTGCTCTTCCTGCTAAAATGCTGACCATGGCCCAGGAGCATCAGCTTCACCTGGGAGCCCTACCCCAGCCCTGCTGAAGCCAAATTTCTGTATTTCAATAGATGTCCCAGGTGATTCATTTGCATTAAAGTTTGAGAAGCACTGGTTTAGGGCTTAGGTAGCAAACTCTTATTAATCCACTTGGCTTCTGTTATCAGCATTAAGTCCTTAATAAGCAGACCTCAAAATTCCATTGAAACGCTCTGAATCAATCTGATTTATTAATTCAAAAAATGACCTCAGAGAAAACTATGCCGTTTTACTTCCCACTGCATGGGTAACTGGGGAAGAAAAGTTCAATTGCTAGTTATGCCCAACAGAACCTAGGTCGAGTCCATTCCAGAACTGGCAGAAGAATCACTCCTGGCTGTCTTTCTCCTTCTGAGATAGACTCAAGAACACAGGTAGGTGATGACCACACCTGGGCTGCCAAGGTGGCTGATAAAATCCTCCAGCCAGCGGTGTCCACACTTTGATGGCTTCAGCTATTTCCCCATGGTGTATATGTCATAGCTCCACATATGATACCAACAATCCTTTGTCCCAGCAGAGGTCTTGTTATTTGTCATCAGCTTTCCAATTTCAACTAGAAACACTGTCCCTTTTTTTAGTTGTTTCTTTGCCATTACTTTAGAATGCTGTTAGCTTCACCTCATCTCTGCCAAGTCCTTGAAGCTGCTTCACAAGGTCTGTAAGAATACAATTTTTGCAGGCAGTGGTAGTTTGAAAACAATCATATATAAGAGTCATATAATTTCAGCCTTAAACCAGAGACCACTGTCAGAGCAACCAGGCTTATCTTTGTAAGTCAGTCAGAGGAGGAGGAGAGAGTCTCAGAGAGGCATGATTGTGTAGGGCAGCATGGTTTAGAAGGATTTGCGGGCAGGTGTATGACCCTGGGGAATTACTTAGACTCTCTGAGCCCATTTTCACAGCTCTGAAGTGGAGACAGTTATTTCCTTTTTTATTTGTTTTTTTAAGAAAGTTATTTCTCTTTCACAGGGTTGTGGTCACAGTGAGGGGAGTCATAGTTGTCCTTGTTGCCTTTGGTCGCTACGTTGTGTTGCAACCCCATGGACTGCAGCCCTCCAGGCAAGAATAATGAAGTGGGCTGCCACTTCCTCGAGGGGCATCTTTCCGACTCAGGGGTTGAACCCGAGTCTCCTGCATTGGCAGGCGAATTCTTTACCCCTGAGCCACCAGGGAAGCCCAGTAGTTATCTAGGGCTGTGTTAACCAGTTATCTCAGATCTTAGCAGCTCAAAACAATAAAATTATCTCAGTTTCTGTGGGTCAGGGAGCCACTTAGCTGAGTGGTTCACTCTGAGGGTCTCTCTCGAGGTTGTTCGGGGCTGTGAGTACCTCAAGGCTTGACTGGGGCGGGACGGTCTGCTCCTAGGACGACTCCACTCACTCACAGGCCTGTTGGCAGGAGGGCTTAGTTCCTTGCCTCAGCTCTCTCAACAGGGCTGACTCCCCCAGACTGAATGATCTAAGAGAGAGGTGGAAGCCACATGCCTTTATGACCTAGCCACAGAAGCCCCATACCATCACTCTGCATTCTACTGGTCACGTGGATCAACTCCAGTACAGTGTGGGAGGGGAGGGGTGAGCCACCCTTACCACTGACCACCAGGGAAGCCCCATGCCGCATCTTTAATATTAGTTTCTTCCTCCTCTTAATATGGCAGCCAACTTCCCTCCTCCACTCCAATCACCAAATATTGTGAGAAGGAAGATTCTCGAGGTGATTCAGTTTTGTTCTCACTCCAAATTACTTTGACTAAGTCGGAAGCTTCTGTCCTCACATCAGGCCTCACATCTGATCAAGGATCCAGACAGTTATGACTCAGAAATTTGGTACTGGACTCAGAATTTATCCCAGTTCATCTGATGAGCATGGAGATTGACTGGGATGCTCCTTGTTTTACTGGTCCTTGTCCACTTTCCCCTTGAAAGAATCCACTCTATGAATTTTGTTATATCTTCAAGATGTCAGGCTCAAGCACTGTCAAATATGCTGGCTGAAATTTCTCTCCTTGTCCTGGAATATCTGCCCTTGAATACAAAGTGTTTACTTTTGGATCCCTGGCAATATGGATGTATAAATGTGACCCCACCATTATACAAACAAATTCACATTTGAAAGGAAAAGGGCTAGTTAATACCAAATTCTTCAACACTAGCAATGGGGAGGCATCAAGAAATAGAGAGGGGCCAGTCCTTTCTGTCTGCTTCTCCAGCTGATCCTCCTTGGTGGCCAATGATTTGTCATTTTTCAGCCTGTGGTAAACAATAATGATAAATAGAAAGATCTCCAGGGTATCATCATAGCAGATTCTGTGCTACAGCCTTAAATACAACTCATGCAAGTGTCGAGTGAACTGATGTATGGATGGATAGATGAATAGACGGATGAATTCTTCAGGTATAATATGACTATGGGTATATGACCACTATACCCAAGGGTAGTGCCTCAAGTGAGGGGACCATTCCCATTGGTCAGGCCTCCACTCTGCTGGTGGCACCCACCCTGTACTGGTCATTAGCGATAGCACCCAGTCTGGAAGAACATGGTACCGTGTTGCAAACTAGGTTACAGAGGAATGTTTAGAACCCAAATGATATGCACTTGCTCATAGGACTGGCTGTATTGACTGGGAATCTGGAAGGAGCAGGACTTGATAGACTCTGCGCTGCAACAAGATGAATCTTAGAGCCAGTATCCAAAGGCAAAGTAGAGCGAGGTAGAGGATGTGTGAATATAGCTCTGGAGTCAATCTGCTGGAGGCGAAAGCTGGGAGCAACAAAGGAGTGCAAGGTAGGGGGAGACCAGGAGCGAGGGTTGAGGGTACAGAGGCTCACCGAAGTTGAGGGGAGTGGAAAAGAAGCAGGAGGAAGGAATGTTTATCAGTGAAGTTCAGCTGGAAGTGATGGAAAGCCCAAAACAAGAGTTAAATGTCATTCTGTATTAAGTAACAAAGTGTGGAATTGAGGCATCATTAGCTGATACCTAGCAATTTCAGGATGATCAAGGATCCAGATTTCTTCAATCTTGTTACTTCATCATCCTACACGTGTAGCTTCCACCTCATGGACAAAGATGGCAGCTTAGATTCCAGCCTTTACATCCATGCTTCAGTCAGTCATTTGGAGAGAGAAGCAAAATGAGCACATCGTCTCCCTTAAGGCAGGGTTTCTTAGTCTTGGTATTATTGGCATTTGGGGTCAGATTGTCATAGGACCTGTCCTGTTTAGCAGCATCCCTGGCATCTACCACAAGATGCCAGTGTAACTTCCTTCTTCCCAAGTGTGACAGAAAATATGTCCCCTGACATTGCCCAATGTCCCCAGGGAAGCAAAATCTATTCAGCTAGAGAACCACTGCTTGTAATTGACTTCTAGAGGCTGCACCTGATCCCTCTGCCACTGATCGGAACTTAGTCACAGAGGCAACTCTTAGCCACCAGGAGCTGGGAAATGTAATCTTTATTCCAGCCAGCCATGTGCCAGCTAAAACCCAGGAGTTTTATTGCTAGAAAGAAAATGAGAAAAGGTATAGAGATATTATGCAAGTGCAAGGGCTCAGCCAAACTTTGGGCCGCTTTGTTCCAGATCCTAGCTCCTAGCTACTGGTTAGCTGAAAGTAGAAGGATTTGTGGTCCCAGTGGCATCTTAGGTCACTAGGGTAGGAACTTTCCTCCCAAAGGCTGAGCCTTCAGCTGAGAAAGGCAAACACTGGGTTCTCACTCATAGCCTTTCAACGTGGCACCTGAACTCAGGTTTATAAGTATGTTTCAAGGCATAGAACTTTGAGTTGCCCTTCACTGTGAGACCTGTGTTCTGTTTCAGTTCCCCTGAGACAGCCCTCATCTCGTTTCCTCCCCACCCCCTTCTACTTTCCTTCTCTCCCTTCCTCCTTTCTTCCCTTAGGTGTTCTTACAAGAGGACTGGATGTAGAATTAGCAGCCCTGAGATCTAGCTTCCTCCTGTCACTGACTTAGGGTGAGTCACTCAATTTTTCTGGTGTCAGTGTCTGTAAAACTAGGAGCTGACCAGATGATCACTGGAGTCCCCCCTCACTCTGAACGTGCAGGCTTTCCAGAGTCCACAAGACTGTGGGGAGAAGCAGAGAGTGCCTTTTCCCGAATGGTGTAAACTCAGTCCCAGGCAGGGTCTGTGTCTGCCAGGCTCCCCCACTGTGTGAAGTCCCAGCCTGGAACATGTCACCAATCCCTCCCATGGGCTCCAGATAGACCTGCTTTGGATGAATGACACTCTGGTTTTGCTAAGTTTCACCAGCTCAAATCAGGCCTTATGTGCTCACTACAAACCTATCAGATGGATGCAGCACTTCCCGGCTGCCAGTTGAAGGTTGAGATGGCCCAAGTGGTGGCCTCTGGGGTGGTTTTGTTTCATTGGTCAGATCCCCATGCCCTGTTAAATTGTGTTTCTCTAGTTAAAGTGTTTTCAGTCTTTATTTGTTCAATAAACACTTCTTGAGCACCTGTGATTCCCAGGGGCCCCAGGAATACAAAAACAAATAAGTCACAGGCCCTCCCTTTCTGGAATGGCACTGAACCTGGCCTTGCTGGTGTTCCACTGTCTTGTCCCACCCCACCATGCCACCTGTCTCCCTCCACCAGCTACAGGCTGTACTTGGGATCCTCTCGCCTGAATCCCTGTCTCTTTCTTTGTGCAGATTTTGCATTTGCGCAAGCTCAGCCTGAAATGGGATACTGCCCCTGCCACACACACATACATACACACACACACTCACACACACAGTCATACAGTCACACACATTCTTGCACATGCATACACTCATACACAACCACACACACTGCTACACACACACACACACACACACACACACACACCTCTCCCTGGCCATGCCTTCCTCATTATTCAGGTTTCAGTTTAAATGTTCCATCTTTTGGGAGACCTTCGCTGACTGTCCTGCTCCCAACCCCAGACTAAAGTACACCCTCTCTTATATTCACTCATAGCACCCTGACTTTCCCTTTCAAGACATTCCCCATCTTGTATTCCTGAAGTCTTCTTCTCCCTCACTGCACTGCAACTTTGCTGGTGGCACTGAGGAGCCCGGTCTCTCTTGATCACTGCTGACAGACAGTAGGCCCTCAGTAAATGACACATGGGGACTTCCCTTGTGGTCCAGCGGCTGGGACACCACACTTCTAATCCAGGGGGACTGCAGTTAGCTCCCTGGTCAGGGAACTGGCACTGCATGCCACAACTAAAGATCTCATGTGCCACAATTAACACCCAGCATATCCAAATAAAAAAATAGATATTTTTTAAATAAATTAAAAATTAAAACATAAATTTCACGTGAATGAATACTGCATGAATGAAAGCATGAAAGGGAGAGAGATACAGACAAACACCCTCCATCAAGTGCTGCTCCAGGAAGGCTGGCAGAGTGGAAAGAGTCCCTGGCTACGGGCAGGGGGGAGGGATGGGTGGGAGGTCCTCACAGGAAGGAAGAGGAAAGAGAGGGGTGGAGAGGAAAGGAAAGAGCAGCCCAGGTAGAAGAAACTGCAGGGGCGAAGGCTCAGGGCGGGGCCTCTGACAGTCCCTGGGTCTGGGGAGACACTGGCCTGGCCGGTGATCAGTGCTGCCGACATGGGGAAGCTCCGGGCTCCCAGCTCTGGGTCTGTGTTCTCCCAGGAGCACAGGCCAGCGCATCCCTTGCACTCTGCCTCTCCCCTCCTGCCCTCCGCCCACCCTGATACGTTGTTTAAGAGCTTTCAGAATCTCTGGATCTGGGGTCCTTAAGAAGGTAGGGTGGTCCCGTGAGCAGGATTCTCCACTGTCTCCTTCTTTCCCTCCCTCCCTCCATCCCTCCCTCCCTTCCTTCCATCCCTCCATTCTTTACCAACTTCGACTCATATTTACCAAGCTCCTTCTGTGTGTTAAAAGTTGGAGAGAAAATTTTCCTCTCATTCTCTCTGAAGGCTTTGAAAAGTGAATCCAGCCAGAAACCAGACACAGTTCCTCTGGGCTGGAGCTGCGGTAGGGGAAGCAGAGAGAGCTGGCAGGCAGGCAGACAAGAGCAGGACAGCATCTCGGCCGGATCCCCAAGCAAGCACAGATTTAGGGGTCAGGTGAGCGGAGCTGCCAGCGCAGAAATGGGGCAAAGAGTCAGCAGGATGAGCTCCCAAGCATTGGTCCTGGACATGGAGGGAAGCTGAGCTCAGGAGAGAGAGAGAAGGGGCAGCTCGAATCCCTGCTGGAAGAAACAGGCAGAGCTTGGAGAAAGGCAGGGGATGTGCCCTTGTTTCATTACTGTCTCCTACCAGCGTGACCTCTGGTTCTCTCTCTGAAGAGACCTTAACTTTTAAATGCCTTGGTTGCTTTTCTCTACCAGGAGCTTAAACCTGCAAAATTCATTTTTTGGGTAGGAGGGAGGATCTGCCAGTGAAGGCTGCTGCTTAGCTCCTAAGAGCAAAGCGGGGTGGGGCAGGCTGAGTTCTGAAGGCCAGGCTGCCCAGGGCAGATGCTCTGCAAGCTGATGTATGCCCAGGGCAGCCGCCAGCTACAGCCCTGGGAGTGAGACTGGCTCTGAGGTTGAGTTGGGGACATAGGTGTGGCGCTCAGTGATTTTCTCTGGGGTTACTGAGTGGGCTTTCCTGTGTCCTGGCTCCCTAACTGGACCCTGGGTGTTGAGAGAATGTCATCCACTTAACATCACCCAGGGAATTCACCCCAGAGCTGATTGACCCGCTGAGGATTCTAGGTCTGTGCTTCTGAGCTTTGATGGATGGCCTGAGAGCTGAGGAAGGGGATGGCCTGGAACAAAAGCCAGGCGTGCTGCTCGCAGCCAAGCCTGACAAAGCTCTCTCTCTCACAGACCCTTCCTCAGGACGGCGGAGCCCTCCCAGGGAGAAGGCTGCCCCTCAGGCCGTCAGGGTATGCAGAACCCAGGGCCCAGAAGGAAACTTTCAATCAGATTAAGTGCCTTTTTTGATGAGACAGAAGGAATGAGGAGGAGGAGAGGCCCTGCCAGGCAGCTCTGGACTTACAGAGGGCACGAAAGAATGCCATCTGAGGAATGGGGAGAGAGGACAAAGAGCTTAGTGTGACAGGAAGCCTGGGAGGAATAAAGCCAGCCAAGGGAGCCAGAGGGAGAGAGGGCCAGAGAGGGAGGAGGAGGAGCCGCCAGGCGGATGCAGGAACACAAAGAGGAGGCGGATGGGGCCTCTAAGCGCCCGGGCCTGGGCAAGGGAGCCCCGACCGGAGGGAAGGCTGCAAGGCCAGTGTGTCTGTACACTGACCATCATCTGAGAGGCCAGTGCAGCCCAGCCCTCTGGAATGGATCTGAAGGATCGGAGGAGAGGACGGGCCGCTTAGCTGAGGCAGTCAGGCCCGGCCTGCAGCCA